GCGGCCCGGCCCTTCCCGCGGCCCGGCCCTTCCCGCGGCCCGAGCCCCCCGGCCCGGCCCGCCCCGCCCCGCCGGCCCCGCCGTACCGGCCCCGCTCGCTCCGCGCTGCGCCGACACCGCCGCGGATCCGCCCAGGCCCGCGCGCCCCCGCACTTCCGGGACCCGCCCGGCGCTTCCCGGGACCCGCCGCCACGGCCGCGCGCCGATTGGCCCGGGGGCGCGCGCGGGGCGGGACCGCGGCACGGCGGGACGGGAGCGGGAACGGGGCAGGGCAGGAGCGGGACGGGAACGAGGAAGGAACGGGAACTGAATGGGGGGCGCAGTGGGGCAGGGCAGGACCGTGACGGGGCAGGAACGGGGCGCGAACAGAACGGGAATGGGGCAGAGCGGGATGGGACCGGGACCGGCAGGGCAAAACGGGGACGGGGCAGAGCGCGGTGCTGGGTGGAAGGCGCAGGGCCCAGGGCCCAGCACGATGCGGCAAGGCAGCGGCCACAGCTCTAGACACGATTCTATTTTATTATGGCAAAGGTGAAAAAGCCACCTCGGCCCAACAGGCAACCAGAAAAATTTATCCCAAAAATAACTCGGTACAAAACAGGTCTGCTCAGAATTAAAAAAAACCTTTACAGGAGTTAAAACCTATCCCAGAACATAAAAGTAAAACAAATCCCATCCTCGGTAGTAGTAGCCACAGCCGCAGCCCCCGCTGGGAGTGTGGAGCAAGATCGGAGTCCTTCCCTGCGCCCGCCACTGCTGCTTTAGCTAGTGTCCATCTGGAGAGAGAGGGAACCATCACCACGTGCTGCAGCACCCCCTGGTACTGCCCCAGCACCCCCTGCACGCAGCCCACCTGGCCCTGGTGGAGCCCCCAGCGCTGTGGGATGGGGAGGGCGAGTTCGAGCCCCCCTGGCAGCCCCCCCCAGCCCCAGCCCCAGCCCCCTGCGCTGCCCCATGGCTGCCTCTGGAATCCTGCTCATGCCAATCCTTCCATGCTTTCGCCCTGGTTTGTCCCGGCCCTGCACCGACTGTGCTGTTGCGGTGCCCTCGCAGCCTTGGCCCTGTTGGGATTCTGACCTGGCCACGGCACAGACGGCTGAGCAAGGTCTGAAGGCTGTGACTGGCAAGCAGTTCCCCACGCTGGGGCTCGTTTCTACCACCAGCATTGCAGCCTTCCCCTGGCAGCACCCCACACAGTTCTTCCACGTGGGATTTTCCTTTCTGTTTTCCCAGTCTTGCACCTCTCAGCTCTGCGGGTTTTGTTCTGCAGCGGTTCTGGCTCTGGAGGAGCTGTCCCAGCCCGGCAAGAGCAGAGGCTGTTCCTCAGCCATCAGTAACAGCAGGTAACAATGTGCTCTGGAAAGCGAAGCCAAGGCCTGGGCCAAGGCACAGCTCAGCTTCAGAGAAAGATTGCTTCAGTCCAAGGTCCTGGAAAACACTTTCCCTTTCCTGCCAGCTCCAAGCTGCCAGTGCTGCCCAGGACGAGACGCTGCAGAGAGCCTGTGAGAGTGCCCAATTAGCACTTACCCTGGCATTGTAAGCATCCAGCTGTGCATCTAGTTCTTCTGCAGAGAGCTGCTGTTTGGAAGTTCTTCCAGCTCCTCTGCCTCTCCCTCTGTTCCCGCCACGAGTCCCTCGCCTGTTGCCTCCACCTCCAAATCCCCCCGAGATCCCACGGTTTCTGGTCATGCCACCTCTGTTTACACTGTGAGTTTTAAAAAGCAACTGTTTTAGTGCATTCAGTGAACTCAAACAGGACCTGCACTCCCCACTGGGGAGGGGCCCAGCAGGTCCCCACCCTGTGCCTGGGGCAGGGGCTCCCCCACCTCTGTGCTGGTCTCCGCTGCGTGTCAATCTGTGATGTCACCAGCTGGATGTTCATGGGGCGCCCTGGAGGGAGGGAGAGCACCCGTGAGCCTGTGCAGGACAGGGCTGGGAGGAAGGGAGGGAGGGAGCGAGGCACACATGTGCCAGCTGCTCCACTCCAGCCACAGAAACAGGCCATGGAGACGGCACAGAGACTCACCATCCAAGGGGACCCCGTTGTACTGCTTCATCGCCTTCAAAGCATCAGCCTTCCTCTCAAAATGCACGTCCGCCGTCCCTAAGCTGCGACCAGATCTGTCATAGTGCACAGCTGCCTTCTTCAAGGTCCCAAACTCTGCAAAGAGCTCCTGAGAACGACAGAGAGAGGAGTGTGCCCGTCCGTCAGCGCTGCCAACACGGCAGCTCCTCACACAGCCACGCCTGGTGAGCGCTGGTGCCTTTCCAACCACCACGGGCTGTCTGGGAACACACCAATGGCAGAGGGGAGCACAGCCCATTGGGGAGTTTCTGGGAGTTGCCACACGTGGCAAAACCAAGCAGGGCTCTGCATTCACCTCCTGAAGGAGCACGTTTACAGCCAGTCAAACAGACTCAAGAGATGCCAATCTGTTTCTTTTCCCAGAGAAATTGAGGGTGTTTGTTGAGGCCAAGTCAAAGGGGCAACTACTGAAAATACTCCGGATGCCAGACATCCTTCTCACAGAGAATGAGCCATGTAAGCAGAGGAATCCACAAGATGATGGCAGTTGAACTGTGCTTTACTTGTGCCCATTAGGAACATACCCCAAAAAATGAGACCAGCAACTGAGGTCTGTCCTTTGATGCCACAAAGGTTGGAAAAGGCAGCAATGAAGCCACCAATTTTGTTTCACAGATGCTACATTAGGAAAGTCAACGAGGACAACTCACCACGGTGAATTTCCCACCAGGGCTGTCCCACAGGGGCCCAGGGAGCTGCCGCTGGGCATTACTGCCCAGCCCTGCCCATGCCAACCCGTGCCCAAGGCACGGTGCTCCCAGCACAGGGCATCCAGCAGCCACCTTCCAGCCCAAGCGAGGCCATGCCAGCCACCCCAAGAGCCCAGGCCCAGCTGCTCCCGCCGCAGGGACACGGGCAGTGACACCGCGCGGCTCCTCCGCGGGCACAGCTGCCTCAGCCACTCGCACCACGTCGTGAGGAATTAGCGCAGCAACAAAACCAACCCCACACCTAAGGCAGCACTAAATGATGGGGCTGGGAGTAACAAATAAGGCTAAAGCCATTGAGTCAGCTCTGCTGCTAAACAAAGCCCCGGGCAGCTCGTGCAGGGGCAGGAAGGTGAGTCCCGCCACACACGAAGCACAGGGGCTGTGCAGAGCCACATTTTACACCCTGGCCTCACTGCAACAGACAGGGACTTATTTACACCCGGTCTGCAGGAATGGAAATGGAAACACAGCAGGAAAAGAGTGGTATCCAGTATGCTCCTCAGTGACCCGACAGAGCTCCCTTCATTCCCCAGACCCAGCCAGAGCAGTGCTGGAGGGACCGGACTGAAGGATGATGAGGGAGGTCTGACAGCAGGGGTTTGGTTTTCCCTGATGAAGACACAAGGTCAGAGCCCATGGTGATGGCTGTGCCCTGCAGTGCACCCAGGCCAGGAGCCCCCGGGGGGACACAGCTGACACCCAGCTCAGGGCCCACAGGAACCACACATTCCTCTGGTCCAGTCTCCAGGGCAGAGGCACCGACTACGGGCACTGCGGGCTCTGACCGGGGCACGGCCATGGGACACCTCTCTGCTCACCCCGCCCGTGCATCCAGGGAACCCCTCGGTGTCCAGTAGGACACGATCCAACACAGCAGCAGAGCCCTGGACGCGCATGTGGCACCTCGGAAACGGCTGCAGCTGCACAGAGAGGAGCTCAGAGCTCACACGGAATTCTCCAGTCTCGGCTCCAACCAGTCGAGGCGCAGCATCGTTCCCGCGTGTGCCACGGCTCAGCCCCTCGCGAAGCATCTAACACCAGCTGTTTCAGTCCCCCTCGCGAGCGCCGGGCCCGCGCCAAGGCAGGCACCCGCGGCACAAACCCCGTCACGGGGGATTCACCCGGGAATGCTCGGCCCCGGGAGCAGGCGGGCGCGGAGCCGGTGGGGCTCTCGCGGGCACCCGACCCTGGCGGAATGAATGAAACTCCCGCGCCCCCCGCGGCGCCGCCCGAGCCCCACCTGGATGTCCGCATCCGAGACGCCGAAGTCCAAGTTAGAGACGAGCAACTTCCCGCCGGTCTCCACGCCGGCCCCCGCCCCGAAGCCGCTGTCAAACAGGTCGTGCTGCCACTTCTCGGGGAGCTGCTTCGGCTGCAACAAGACCGGGACCTCGCTGACCGGCGCCGGGGCCCCGCAGCCCCCCGGCCGCGCCGGGAGCGGACAAAGGACCGCCCGCGCCGCCGCCTCGCGTGGACCCGCCGTCCCGTCCCGTCCCGTCGCGCCGCCCCGCCCCGAGCCCCGGCCGCCCGATCCGTACCCGGCTGTAGGGCGCGGGCCGGTTTCTGCCGCCGCCCCGGGCCATCACCGGCCGGTTCCGCACGGGGCCGCCGCCCGCGCGTCCGCCGCCCACGCCGCCCCGGCCGGGCCCGCCCCCGCGGGCGGCACCACCCCGGCCCCGGCCGCCCCGACCGCCCCGGCCGGCCCCGCGCTGGCTCCGGTTCAGCTTAATGATGTCGTCCAGGGACATGTCCATCTTGTCGGCCATGATGGCGGCTGCGCTCCCGCCCGCACTTCCGGCCGCGCTACTCCCGCGCCGGAAGCGGAAAAGGCGGGGCGGGCAGGCGCCCCTGCCGGCGCGCGGGGTGCTATGGGGGGGCGACACTTCCGGCAGGGGCGGGGCTGGGTCGCGCGGGGGCGGCCATGCGGGTGCGCGTGCGGAGCTGGCACGGGGTCGCGTCCTGGCTCTGGGTGGCGAACGACGAGAACTGCGGCATCTGCCGGATGGCGTTCAACGGTTGCTGCCCCGACTGTGAGTGCGGCACCGGCATCGGGCACCGCGCACCGCGCACTCAGCGGGTCTGACGGTGTGTCCGTGCTGCAGGTAAAGTGCCCGGCGACGACTGCCCGTTGGTGTGGGGACAGTGCTCGCACTGCTTCCACATGCACTGCATCCTGAAGTGGCTGAACTCGCAGCAGGTGCAGCAGCACTGCCCCATGTGCCGCCAGGAGTGGAAGTTCCGCGAGTGACGGCGGCACCGGGCACGAGGGGAACGGGGGGCCCCGGCCCCGGCCCCGCCCAACAACCGCGCTGCCGCCGCTCGCGTGTCCGTGTGCGCCGTCCCGGGGCTGCAGGGGCGGGTCGCGCCGCCGCGGCGGGACCCCCGCCCGACCATAAAGGCGGCGGCGGCCCCGAACGCTGCGGCCCCGCTGGCACCATGCGCGCTGTCCTGGCACCGGCGCTGCTCGTGCTGTGCCGCCCTGCCGAGCCCTGGTACCGACAGGCGGCCCGGCCCCTCCACTACTCGGTGGGCAGACCTTCGGGTCTGCTCTCCAGCCTCCGCCGCACACCCGCCGCTCCGACACCGACGGCTCTTCCGAGCCCGGCCCCGCCGAGGTGCCGCCCCGTTTGGACCGCGCGCTCCGCGCCACCGTGAGTACCGGGAGCTGGAGCTGCTCCCCGCGGGGCGCTGGGCACGATTCGTGCTCCCACCGCGGGTGCTGGGGCTCCGCTGTCCCCGCGATGCTCTGCAGTGAGCAGCAGGAGTGGGGCCCGGAGCAGGCTTGGGGCTCCCCAGCTCTGCCGCCGGCCCCGTGACCGTGTCTCCCGCAGGTGCTGTGCGTGACGGATGTGGCCCCCGAGCCGCGGAGCTGCCGGGCGCTGCCGGGAGTGCCCAGAGCTCTCCGGTGCAGGGTGGATGTGAGCGTGTCCTGGGACCCTGTGGAGTGTGCAGTGTCCTGAGCCGGCACTGGTGGCTCTGGGGAAATAATAAAAGTGCTTGGGCTGGCTCTGTCGTGTCTGTCCTGCAGGGCAGGGAGGTGCTGTGGGGTAGGGGGAGCCCACCTGGATCTGGGGAGCTCTGGCCTGCTGAGCATCCCCACTCCCTCCAGTAGTGCCGAGGCTGCTCAGACACCCAGCAGAACAAAATCCCTGAGCCCCGAGGGCAGCCCGAGGCCTTGGGGGCTGCAGGACACAGTGTGGGGGGACAGAGGGGCTGGACAGGGAGTGACCACAGGCATGGTGCTCCTGTCCCTTCACTCCAGTGACAGGAAGGCCGTGCTGACCCTGCGCTGCAGGAGACCCTGGGGCAGCTCCAGCAACAGGACATGGACTCAGTGATAAGACAGGGGTGGCAGCAGCCCCTCAATACCAGCTGTTCCCTGGCAAGGGCATCCTTGGACAGGTACCCAGGGTGGGCACCTCGTCCCCAGGGTGAGGCCAGGAGCAGAGCACCCAATCTGGCCCCAGTCCCTGACCCCGGGAGGGTTCCTAGGGTTGTGCTGACCCCCGTGGCCACTATGCTCATTAGGAAAGGAGCCAAGGAGCTTCCCCCTTCAGGTGCAGACCTGACCCACCAAGGCCCTGACCTGCTGCACCATCCTTGGCATGGTCCAGCCCAGGTGGAGGCTGCTGGTGCTGCACCTGTGCAGGAACCTTGGGAGGCACCAGGGCCACCAACTGCCGCAGGGGACATAGCCCAGTGTCCCCACTGTGTGGGGGGGGCCAGCACGGTTATGGCCCGGAGACCCCCAGGGGGGTCAGCACGGCACCGCAGGCCCCTGGTGCTGAGCTCAGCAATAACACAGATTCAACTCCAGTCTTGGTGCTGAGCTCCTGCCTGCAGCAGCCCCCATCTGCAGCCCTGCTTTGGGGGGGTCTGGGCCGAAGCTGCTGCTCCCCTCAGCAGGGTCAGGGCTGTACTTACAGGCACTTGCTCCAGGGAACACACACTGCAATTTCCTTCTGGGGAGGCTGCCCTGGGATGGGTGCTGGAACCAGGGTCTTCATCTGCACCTGGGGAATGTGGGGGGAACCCCACAAATCAAAGCAAAACAACCCCACAACAAACAAACCACAGAAAACAAAGTCACAAACTTGGAATTCAGGCTATTTCCCTGCACCCCCCCCCCCCTTTTAACTCCATATTCAATTGTGCCCCTGGGACTCGGGGGCTGTCAGTAAACAGCTCAGCAGAAGAGCCCAGAGGCACTTGGAGGAAGGAACATCATATGTCAAAAGCTCTCAAAGTAAACTCAGCAGCAGTTCCGGAGGCCCCGAGGAACAGCAGCTCCAGCTGAGCCAGAGGGGCTGACATCCCCACACAAATGAGTTACACCCGCAGCACCCACCCGGCGACAGCGGCAATTAAATGCTTCTGTCATTTTTTAATACCAGCGGTACCTGCCTTGCCCTGGGGGTGGCTCAGCAACGTGCTCGGCCGGGGCGGATGGGTCACCAGGGCTGAGCTGTTTGTCCTTAAGGACAAACTCCTCTGCAGTGCCCGTGGGAGGGGGCTGTGCACTGCAGAGGGTGAATTTGTGCATTCTGCAGCTGGCAGACCCCAGGAAGGGACCGACAGCTCGGAGTCAGAGCTGCTGTGCCAGCCCTGGGACTGGGAGCTGCCATGCAGGGAACATGCTCAGCCCCAGCACGGTAGGGTCCCAGCACACATCCCCTGTACCCCCTTTCTGCTACCTGGGCTCGAGCCCTAAAGAGACCAGTGCACAACTCTTCAACATTTTATTAATGATCAGCAACAAAAGTTTACAACAGTGAGGACACCAGACCCAGCCTGGCAGGACTGTCTGGACCAGTGCAGGGAGCAGCTCAGGATGCCCACCACAGCACCCTGGAATGTAAGAGGCAGAAGGGGCTCAGCCCAGCACCCATCCTCCTCAGGCCCTGCATCTCCACACAGGGGCACATGTGCTGCACATCAGTCCTCAGAAAACAACCCCAAAACTTCACCTGGCCAGGTCCCACCCTCATGTAATCCACCCTTGGGCACAAGGTGGATTCTGGCAGCAGCAACAAGGGGGGTTCTGAGCACAGTCCACACAAGGCACCAGGTCCTGCTGTCTCGCAAATTGAAGAGCCTTTGGGAGAAGGTCCCAGGGTTCCCATGCCTTACGTGGAGAAATGCCTCAATTGAGGGTCCCTGCACCACCTGTCCCCTCAGCAGGTACCACCCACTGCCTGTCACTGAAGCAGGAAATGAGCTGCCTTTATCCAGCTCAACCCAGAGTAGCTCTGGGTCTGCACAGGGGCAGGAGCTGAGGAGAGGCAGCACAGTGGACCCCAGAGTCCAGAAGCACCTCCAGCAGCAGCACTGATGGCTCTAAGCAAAAGCTGCAGGAGGAACTGGGGGGGCCACATCCCCCCAGCCTGAGGCCACTCTCACTGTCAAGCCACCCCCACCTCTGCCCAAGGGGCTGCTCTGGAATGCAGACCCCAGTCAGGACAGCCAAGTCTGGCAGGGCAGGGGGCCTGGGCAGCTGCTCCACTTCCCTCCTACTAAGAGCCAAAAATGGCAGAAGGTAAAAGCACATCAACATGTTAAAACATTAGTTATAATTAAAACCATTTTTTTTGTCAAATCTCCTTCTGGGAAAGGGAACGGGGGCTGATTAACAGAGATAAAACTAGGCAGCGGGACCCCAACTCATTATATCTGCATAATTAGTGCAGGAGGAGCTAGGACAGCAGAGGGTAGGACAGCACATCCTGCGTGCCGGCAGCGCTGCCCCCGTCAGGGGTCCCTTCCTGAAGAGCTGTTGCTCCCGCAGAGGGCGAGGCTGCAGCGCTCTGTGGCCCACACATCCATGCTCTGCAGCCTAGTGCTTCTCCTCCTCCAGCCTCCTCATGGCCTCCAGTACAGCCAGCTCTTTCGCTTCCTTCTTCTGGTTCCGAGCTTCAAACTCCAGCCTGCATCAATCACACAATGCCGTGAGATTCTCATCCATCCCCACCTCCTGTAGACAAAAGCACTTGGAGCAGGAGAGCGCTGCCTTTTCCTATGCTGTTCTGTTCTGAGAGCACTTCAGAAACCCTCCTGGGGCCCCCAGACTCTTCCACAGCCTCTCCCAGAGGCCCCCATGGCTGTTGACATGACTGCAGTCCTGGGCTCCCACACTACTTCTCCCTCTGTGGAAAAAGCTACTATTCTGTTCTTGGTCTGTCCTGGGACATCTCAGATAGTAACACCAAAAATCAAATTTACCACTGATCTGAGCCAAGGTCGCTGAAGGTGAAGGGCTCAGGCCTAAAACAGCAAAGCTCTGAAGGAAGTAACATGCTCTTTTGCACAGGATACAGCAAGGAAATTTACCATTAATAAAGAAGAAAAAACAAAAAATATGCCGTTCAGCACATTCTGACGCAGCAGAGTTCAGCTGTTCCTTTCCCTGTACAGACTGGTACATCCACACTTAAAGCCTGCCCGAGCCATGGAAAACGAAGGACCAGTTTGCTGACTCTGTGCCTTTAGACAACCCCTTCTCTCCCCATTTGATCCCATTAATCAATCCCCAGACACTCTGGACAGAACAGTATGTGACAGAAGTGGGAGACGAAGACATCCAACCTGTTCTTTATGATTCTTTGCACAATTAGATCTGTGGTGAGATTGCTGCCACTGTCCACCAGCTGGAAAATGCCGCGTCGCTTCGGTTCCTGTGAACAGACACAGCACTGGGCTGTGAAAACACGCGGGACCTGGGTGTGCAGCTCAGCAGTGACAGCTGAGCAAGCTGTGGCAGGTCCTGCAGTGCCCAGCCAGGCAGGATGCAGAACGATCTCCTCAGAGGCAGAACATGTACATGGAAGCTGCCCAGGTCTGGCACAGAGCAAAGCACACAGATTTTCTCACCCTGCCATGAAGGCATCAGAAACAGGCAGTGCAAAACAGTGCCTGTAAGAGTGGAGATGTTGGGAATGATTTACAGACTCTGCTCCAAGGAGCTACCCTCAGGGGTGGATAAAAACCAGCATCATCTGCCACAGCCCTGCCCGTGCAGCATCCTCTGCAATACACCTTCTCAGCCCAGGAACTCAACCAGAGCCAGGCTGTGTCTACCAAATGCTGACACAGCAGCTGGTACCTTACCTCGTAGGGATCAGAACCGTCCTTGTCTGGCACCACCTCAGTCATCCCATGACACACAAGTGTTACCTGGAGAAGGACACAAAGTTGCTGACAAGATCCAAAAGATGACAAGGACATTCCCTGCCACTGCTCCCACTAAACACAGCGTGGAGATCAGCAAAGCCACCCTCCTGCACCAGCCTGG